CAAGCTCCTCTGCTTGGGTAGGGGGTCTATAGTAGACTCCCACCAATAGGTCCCTTTCCCCTCTTCTGCCTTGAACCCTAACCCAAAGCACCTCAGAGTGCTTCTCCCCTGACTCCTTACTAATTAGCGAGGACGTGTAGTCCTCCTTGATATAGAGTGCCACTCCTCCCCCTCTCTTTCCTTTTCCTCTTTCTCTTTTCCAAGTTGTTGCATTGCAGAATGTAGAATATGACTGAACAGAGCACAGAGGAACAGCATGGGCCTCCCCACCAATACCAGTCAATCTGGACCAAGAGCGACCACTTCAAGCATTTGTTCTCAAAGCCAATTCACTCTTTGGCCTCTTTTTTTAAGCAGGGTGCTAATGAAGAAAGGGTTTTGAGGCATGTAGCCAGGACAATCAACTCATTTCACCTTACTGATTTCACAGGGCAGCAATAAGTAATAGAGTAGCACCGACAACCTGAACTGGATCTGATCTACAGAACTCAAGTTGCTAAATACTTCAGATCCCATTAGCAAAGCCAAATCTTCCAAAGTCATTCCAGTCCATATAATATAGCGATACTCATAATAACCTGTGCATAGGGTTCCATGCTAAAATAAGGATGGGAAAGCAAGGGGACAGACATTAAGAGAGACTTCATCTCATCAGAAGACGAAAGGGTATAACACCTGCATTAGGTTGCTTAGTAAATAATGAAGTTAGTGCTTGCAGTGCTGTGATACTGATATGAACTAAGCAATCCTAAATGTGACAGATGCCATCTCAATTGTAATCAGTGCACGTGCCATCTTGCTCAAAGCAAGTGTATGAGTGGATACTTGAGCAATGCCATATGCAGCTGTCAAACCACATTACAGTCATGCTGTGTGATATGTTATGCATATCAGACAAAACACAACATATTCCAGAGTCAGGTCCAATTCAAAGCCTCCATCAGCCTAACCTGCAAAAGGAGTTTAGAAACCAGAGAAGCAAAAACCAGCATGATGAACTTCCTGAGCTGTTTAAGAGTACACTACACCCTAGGGTGCTTCCATCTGTTCACGATGACAAACAGGCACACCCACACCACTCAGCCAGACCCTCCATGGCTATAAAAGTCACTGGAGCTGATCTTGATTCACAGCAGCTGAGGATTGAATCTGATTATTTTATAAACACTATTTTCTGTACACACAGAAAAACTGGATGGGAACGAACCCCAAATACCCTACTAGTACTAACTAGCACCAGCCCACCATTTTCTGAATTCAGCAAGATCTGACAAACTGGCTGGGCACCGATCCGACTAAGGATAAGAGGTAAAACATTTGCCAATGCCAAATGAAATGTAAAGGAGGAAGACAGTTGCTTATTCTGAAGTTTATTCACTGGCAACTAAATTAGCAAATTCTAGCTGGAGACAACTAACAGCATACACGTGGACAGAGCGGACTGAATACCGCTAAAAATAATAAGAGTTTGCTGAGTACCAATCAACCTGTAGGCTTGTTCACACGCACAATTCCTCTGGGGACTGAACCAATTTGACTGAACGGATTCAACTGATGCAAGGCTGAGGGTGCACAGAGCAGGTTTTCCTTAGTTTTGTTAGTCTTCTTTCCTTTCCTGTCTTCCCTCTACTTTTTGCAAACAATTTTTGCTAAGCTTGTTTTCGTTTTTTGCTTTAACTGAAATGTCAGTTTCCCAGGGTGCCGATACACGAGCAGCAGGGCTGCTCCAACGTGCTGTAACTTGTAACACTAGTCTCTGATCACAGCGTTCCCCCACTCTCTTCTCTTTTCTCCACTCTTCTAACCATTTATAGGACATGACAATTTCACATAATAGCTAGAGAATGAACCCTAGAAGCCACAGAGGAATGGATGGTTGTTTAGTGAGCTGGAGAAAGAATATGCTCGTAAAAATTCTCTTTAAGCGTTTTAGGTTAATAGTGTCTATATGGCCCAGGATAGGCCCATTTTATTGGACTTACAAACAAATTCAGATCAAGAGAATTCTCTCTCACGGAGCAAGTGCCTGTAAAGCTACAGCTATGCTTTGAGGTGGATATTTAGATTTTTGGGCCTTTTCCCTCTCCTCCACACATTCGCCGCCCTTTCTCCAATTTGCTGGTATTGCATTGTCCATGGGTTCCCATCAGTTATAGACGCTCCGTGATGTTTGGCCCAAATATCACATCTCAAACCTTCACCTGGGCTGTCCCAGCCCCACACACCCATTGAGGTGGCAGCACAGCTTTCTGGCTCAGCACATGGGGAGCATTTCTGCCCCTCCCTGGGCCAAGGGGTAGTTTTGGCTGTCAGATGACTTAGCAGGAGTTTCTCTCACTATGCAGTGTGTAACGTAGGCCAAAGCAAATCCCTTGCTGACCCTCATTAGGGGTTTGGCTTAATAACTGAACACTGCAACGTCGAAACTCAAGCCAAACCTTTGTGGGACAACGTGTTTGAACAACAAGAATCATGTTTTCTGTTCCACAGCACTGGCTCCCCTTTCACTTCTTTATTCCAGGTACTGACCTATTCTGAGCATGTCTACACGAGACGTTTACTGAGCAGACTAATTAGCTCCACAGTAAATGTCTTGGCAGCTACACATGCAGGGCTATTAGGCTGGAGTAAACTAAAAAACTCCACAGCAGGGTAGTGCTTGTAAATACAAGTACCAATCTGCTGCATAGTTTTTTTTACTCTATGCAGCACTGCACGTGTAGATGCTGACTGGGCTGGCTGGGGCACAAGGGTGCTTCAGTGCAGGGGCTGCTTGCCAGCTAGTCCCGCACTGGAGCACCCTCATGCCCCAGCCAGCCCCCCACAGCATGTTCAGCAGGGTCAGAGCAGCCCACGGGTGGCAGACTGAGCCCCTGGGCCCCCTGCCAGCTGAGGCTGCTCGGACCCAGCTCAACCTGCTGCAGTCTCAAGCACACGTGTAACCACAGTGCCTGGGAGCAAAAAACTCGGGCGCAACAAGCTCTGGAGTTTATTGCTCAGCATTAATATGCACATGTAGACGCTCCCTCTTTGTTTTTTCAAACACCTAGGCAAAAATGATACCTGTCCATCTGACCCTGTCTAAGGTTGCACAGATATAAATGCGGAAGGATTATGGCTGTCCCAGGATGGCTGTGTTTACCTGCAATACTGCACCCAATAACTAGGTGTTGACCATGCTGGGAGATTATGCTGATTCACTGAGAAAAGTGGCTCATTTTCTTACTTGGACTTCAAGGTAGTGGGAGTTATTACATGTGTACTGAGCAGTCCTGAACAAGGATACTTAAGAGCAGCTGTGCCTGCAGTACACATTGGTGGTGGGCATGGAAACTTGCAAGCATGGTCCATGGAGGCATGAAAGAGGTTTGTCATGGACGGAATCTCTCTATCTAAGCTAAGAGCTGCTCTACTGCTGCAAAAAAGGCCTGTACTTCCAGTAGTGCTGCTGCTGGCTCCTGCCCAAAGGGGCAATGCCTGCTGAACATGTGTTCCAGAAAGTTAACCTGCCCTTCTGTTCCCATGAACAGCAGATCCTCACACAGATCTGGGTGAAGCTGTG